CAACTTTAGGGATCTTATCTATTCACGAACAGCTTGTAACACTCCAAAGAGAAAGGAAAACTTGAAATCGCATCATATGTCCCCTTTAAAAGCATAATCTAAACAGACAATTTCCTCATATCCTTCAAAAAATAAAACAAGACGCTGTGTGTGCGTGTGTGTTGAGGATCAGTTTCTTTCGTTTAGGAGCGTTTGGAGACGTGTTGTTTTAACACAAGGCCCGCTGAGAGTGTTAGTCTCCATCCGGCTCCTCACACTGTCTGCTGAATCTGATCCAGTCTAGACCAGTGCTGGTCGTCCATGAGATGTCTGTTCCATCACAATAACCTTTAGCAACACCACACACACACACACACACACACACACACATTCCCCCCATTTACAGTGTGCTTGCTTGAAATAAAAGCCTCTTTCTTTGAATGTAATTACACTTAACATTTCCCTCAGCATTCTGGACTCCACACTAAACAACCCATTCCTCATCACAGTAATGAGGATAATACTTCATACTGCAAAAATAGCTCAGTTCTTTCCCTCATAATGTACATAAAGTTATAAATACTTTCATAACGTAAGCAGTATTGACTTCTCTCATATCTCCAGAAAGCAACGTCATCTCACCGAAAAAAGCCCATCAGCAGGAAAGCTGGAACAAGCTGAGAGAGAAACTGTATTCTCGGTGTATGTTCCTATTTCTCTGAATCTGAACATTATGTCGTAATAACAGACAGTTAGATTTATGTGTATTAAAGTCTGTGCTCCCTTGAGTTGCCAACAAATACAGGACAAGATATGAGACTTCAACATCAGAATATGGCAGAATATCCTCTATAGTAGTGGAACTGCTAAATCATTACATGGAAAAAAACAAACAAACAAAAAAACAACTTCTATAATGGAACATCTTGATTACTTTATGGCAAAATCCATTCTATAATAGAACATCTTAATATCTTTGTGGCAAAGAACCTTCTATTATGGAACATCTTGACTACAGTACATGGCAAAAAACATTTTATAACAGAACATCTTGATCACTATACAGAAAATAACATTCTATAGAACATCATGATCGCTACATGGCAAAAATCATTTAATAGATCATTTTATAATGGAACATCTTGATAACTATATAGCAAAAATCCTTCTATAAGGGAACATCTTGATCCCTACAGCAAAGAACCTTCTATAATGGAACATATTGATCAAGATATAGTAAAGAACCTTCTATAATAATGGAACATCTTGATCCCTATAGCAAATAACCTTCTATAATGGAACATTCTGATCACTATATGGCAAAAAAACTTTAATAATGGAACATCTTGATCACTATATAGTATATAACACTATATAACATCTTGATCACTATATAGCAAAGAACCTTCTATAATGGAACATCTTGATCACTATATAGCAAAGAATCTTCTATAATGGAACATCTTGATCACTATATGGCAAAAAACTTTAATAATGGAACATCTTGATCACTATATAGCAAAGAATCTTCTATAATGGAACATCTTGATCACTATATAGGAAAGAATCTTCTATAATGGAACATCTTGATCAATACAGCAAAGAACTGAAGGCTGATAGAAATAGTTTTGGTTTTGTGGACAGCACTAGAGAGGTACAATAAAAAAAAAATCACAATGATCCCCATGCCGGTTTGCTAATAAGGTTAGGAAATAAATGGTAAAATAGGCCTATCTATCCTCACATTAATGTATATTTGTTACTGGAAAAACTGCCCAGCATATTACAGATCATCAATACTTAGAGCTCTTCTCATGCCATTCTGAAAAAACTTACTGGCATGATTTTAAAGCCTGTGAGTGAACACACATGAAATTAACTCTTCTTCCGTACAACATTTTGTCCCGAGTCCCGTGAACTCCAGGTGCATCTCACAAACACACACAAAGGGTCTGTTGTTAAACTCAGTCTCTGTTTAGCTTCCCCAAGGGCATGCTGTCCCCATCTGCTGCTAACGGCTGGTATAAAAGATGGACGCAACCCAAACACACACGATCGTGCATCATCCCTAAAACCACCACACACTGTCCTGTCAGCAAAACAGCTGAACAACACTGAGATACAGAGAGACAAATTAGGTTTTAATTTGTCAAATTGTCTTCGCAGGCCCATGAGAGCAATAGATCCGACAACATGATCGCTTACAGAAATCTGACATGATGATGTGTGTCTGTTGAAATCCTATGGCTCCTCTACGGAAACGCTTTTATAATGACACTAGAATAAACGCTGGCTATTTCTCACCACTATCCTAAATGCCAGCAAGACTGACTCCGAAGTATACAGATGGAGTTAAACCACTCAAAGCAATTAAACATGTGCATTTGAGTATTAACCACACTTTCAGCAGAGCAAAGTGAAATAAAAAGCTGTCTTCCAAAAACATGTTTCCAATTAGCACAGAGAATAATTTGCACTTATCTACTAAGCAAAAGATGCATTACAGTAATGGGAAAAAACATTTCCACTGAGAAATGGAACGAACCGATTCACTGATCCGAATGAAATAATGATTCATTCACGAATCAGACATCCCTACTTTTCCCATGAACATGCCAAGGACAACTAGGGCAGATATCAAAATTTTCAGTAAACAATGATTTAAACTACTGCTTCTTACAAAAAGCACTGCAAATGTAGTTTATTACACTATACAGGCTTTTTTCAAAATGTCAGATTTTTACATTTTAAAATATCTTAGCTCTATGACACTTGTTTTAGTGAATTTTATATATCATTTGATATATACAGTGGGTACGGAAAGTATTCAGACCCCCTTAAATTTTTCACTCTTTGTTATATTGCAGCCATTTGCTAAAATCATTTAAGTTAATTTTTTTTCCTCATTAATGTACACACAGCACCCCATATTGACAGAAAAACACAGAATTGTTGACATCTTTGCAGATTTATTAAAAAAGAAAAACTGAATAACAAAGAAAAATTTAAGGGGGTCTGAATACTTTCCGTACCCACTGTATATATAATATAAATTCCATATATTTTTATTTTATATAAATAATATATTTTATATTAATAGTATATAGCAGTATTATATTTGTTATTTTATTTATAATATATTTTCTGATTTTGCCATTTTGAAATATCTTTTTGTTAGTCTTTGATACTGACCTTATATACCATTACATAGAGTTTTATATAATTTCACATATAATAAAAATGTATACATTATTTATATTTAATAAAATATCTATATAAATGTATTATAATTTGTTTTACATATAATACATATATTTTATATAAAATGTGTATAGGCAGAGCCACTGAGATCTCAAAAACTGGATCAATTCAATTTGTGAATGAATCATTTTGAGAACCGGTATAAACTGATTCACTAAAAAGATCTGACTCAAAAGAATGATTCATTCACAAATAAGACCGCTCTAGCTTAAATTATGGCCGGTTTCTCACAAAAAGCTATTATATGACTTTAGAAGACTTGGAATACAGTGCACAAGAACTACTTTTCTTGATTTCTTCCATGCAAAAAAGACATGACCGTGTACAGTTTGTGCATTCGTTCTGTTGTTCTGATTCAGTTAATGGGGTCAGAGGTGTGTGGCGTACCACAGACACACAGGCTTTGGGTTTTACACACCACACTGCAGCCAGTCAATTACGGGAGTATCCTGCTCTGATCAAGCATGCTTCCTGGAACACATGCTGCTGCTCCAGCTAAACAAAGACAACTTCACACGCGCGGAGACAAAACACCAGGCCCACACTTGTTCAAAACACACATATCTCTCGCCTCAGGGTCAAACTTTAACCCTCATCCAGAGCAAATACCTTCTGCTAGGACAAAACAGACTAAATTACAATGAAAGCAAATGAAGGAAAAGGCACCGTAAAGGAATCAGTCTTATTTTTTTAAATCATATGACCGCTTTGGGTGAAAAACAGATCCATATTTATGTAAAGTGTTCAGTTGCATAATGACGGTACACTCTTCACCCTTCTGAGGTTTAAATCTACAACCAACAGGTAAATAGCCCAGATTTTTAACCACTAAGCCACAACAGGCCCAGGAGGGAGTGTCTCAAAATCACTTTATTTCTACATTAGGTAGAGAAAAACACTTGTATTTTTATTTCTGAACCGGCTTTATATCAGCGTCAGGCTGTAATTTAACAGTCTAAAGCAGGGGGTTTTCAGTATTTTAGGTGCTCCAAAACCTCAAATATCATCATTCTCATGTAAGGAACCTCCCATCCTAAAATGTAAAATGCAGCTATATATTCCTATGTATACTATAAACACCTAATTTATACTATTACAAATATGTGCGATATTTGGAAAATATTTAGTTTCCTTTACGTTACTGCATTTTTTTTCTACACATTGTAGTACTGATCTGTTAGATGTATTATTTATTACATTTTATTTTTAATTATTAATACTTTTGTTTTAGTCATTTTCAATTTGTTTTAATTACATTTATTTATTACGTTTTTTTAAATTATTGACTTATTTTTACAGTTTTTCTCTGAACTTTTACCCCCTAGTGCTCCCTTGTGGGTCTCCGGACCCTTGGTCTAAGGGGCCCTATAATAAAAAATACGTACATTATATACATTACATGTTATACGTACACAAATTATACAAGATGGTATATTAATCAGATCAGATTCAGGGCTACAACACATAAACACACAACCACAGGTAACACAACACAAAAACATAAGAACATAACATAATAATTCATTAATTCATAGACTAAATTAAGACACACAAAGTTTACTTACACACACACACACACACACACACACACACACACACACACACACAGTGCTAGGCCTGCAGTATAATGGGGTTGCCGTGGGTGGAAAATTAAAGCTTGTCTCTTTGGTCTCTTAAAAGCGTCTTGTGATGTCGAACACACCCTAAACACACTCAAAGTCAAAGCCCTGAGAAACACACACACATCCGGCGCAACTCACCGGCCTCGTTACTGAGTGGATCTCTGGCTCCTGTGGCGCATAACTGATACATGTCTTTCCTCTGATCCACGATCCACAGCGGCAGCCTCACACTCACGCAGCCCGAGGAAAGAGTTGAGGAACGCGGATAAACCACGCCCAGGAACTGGCGTCAGCCGAACCTACCTTCGAATTCTACTACGGCGAAGGCTCAGCTCATTAACATTAATGACGTAAATTTACGTTGGAGCGGTAGACGCACCTAATTGGCTGATAGAGACTCTCTGGGCCCTAGTCTGATGGCTTAACGAATCTTTTCAATTTAATGGAGCTTTATTTGCATGGCAGTAGATATACAATCTTATATATATCTTATATATTATACTGAATATATCTTATATATTATTATTATTATATATTGTATTATTGTTGTTGTTGTTGTAGTTGTTGTTGCTAAAATAGTTAAAATAATTGCAAAAAGCAAGTATAAAAAGCATCTGCCAAATGCATAAATATAAATGTTATTATTATTATTATTATTATTATTACAATATTAATTTTAAAAGAGAACAATTAAATTTGATTGTATGGTCCTCTTCTTTAATGATATGTTTAAAATGTATTCAACCTCTCTTTTTAAGATTTTTTCCCTTTCTGTAGTGACTTTTCCTACATTAAACCAAATATGTTGCCAAAAGTATTTGGACACCCTCTTCTAATGAACAGGTTTGACTACTTTAGTAATTTCCACGAGTACAAATCTTAATGTTTAAGCATATAATAATATTCTAGGGGATTGTGTGCTTCTAATTTTATAGCAACAGTTTGGAGAGGACCCTTTTCTATTCTAACACGACAATGCCTCTGTGTATAATTCAAGGTTCAAAAAGAAATGATTGATTCAGTCAGCGTGGAAGAACTTGACAGGTCTGCAGAAAGCCAGCTGAACACCTCTGGTGTGACTTTAAATGCAGACCTTGAGCCAAAAACGCATCACCAAACACCAATGACCTGTGGACAAAAGTATTAGGACACACCCTTCTTTAGAACAGAAAAAGGCACTTCCAAAACTGTGGCAACAAAGAGGAAACATAATTCATGTATTTAAAAATTGTATTTCCATCTCGGTTGCAACAGTTTTAGAAGTGTTTAAAATGACTGTACCCATATGTACAAATCATTGGTGTTTTGTCACTCATTCACACTAGAATATCATTATATGCTTAAACATTAAGATTTGTACTCATGGAAATTATTAAAGTAGTCAAACCTGTTCATTAGAAGGGGGTGTCCCAATACTTTTGGCAATACAGTGTATATCCAACATACACATTGATTGACATTCCTTTTTGAAGGCCGTGATCATGAATATTTAATTAGGTTACGTGACGGACGCTGCGACAACGTTACTAAGCAACGTCAGCGTTGCTCACTTAATATTCACGAGCCAGATCTTCGCCATAGTAGGATTTGTACTGCGGCGCGTTGAATGGAGCTGCGCTGATACAGCACGAGCGGGCGTGACTGACGCAGCGCGGAGCGGACGCTGCAGACTATCCTTCTGCGATGAAGATCGTTTACTGTAACTGAAGGAACTGTCGCAAGACACAGACGCGGGGGAAGTCAAGAAGAGTCACAACTGTTGAATAACGGAAAGTTACTATGACATCATACATTTTCGTGTATTTACTAGTACGATGATTGTATATATAAGTCATATATCTGGACCATATATCTATATCAACATAAAAAAAATTATAATATAAGAATAAATAATAATATTTGGCCAGGAAAGCTGCAGAGGAAATGTTACAGTCACACCCAAAACAACCTAATAATTTAATAATGATCACATTGTCATACGTTATATTACATGTATAAAAATGTGATAATTATTAGATGATTAAGTGTAATGTGTATGATCTTTTTTGTTGTTCTCTGGGATGATTTTAAAGAAACAAAATGTTTTATTTTTCTTCAAAAACAATTATTTTACATTTTAATTTATTTATTAAAAAGAATCAAATATCTAGATACCAAAGTTCAAGCGAAATATTACATTTAATATTATAAAAAATATATAAAACAACTGAAAACTAATCCGTGATCTGCCTCTCATCGTTTATTGAGAATATTTTTTTTCTTTATTTGAATAATAATATTATTTTAATAATATATTTTATAACATATAACATAACATGAACACGGGGAAAAACATACTTTTGCGTATTTCATCTCAAACTGATGTAATCCACATGTCACTGGCGGAAAAACGTGATGGGCGGGGCTTCGGTTCGTCTTTGTCGTCATCGGCAAGCGACGAGTGATTCAACTCGCATATGACAAATATGACATTTCAGCGTCAGTAGAGAGAGATTGCTTGTGTTTAAACAGAACAGTTAGCTCGGTAACGTTTCGATAATGACTTCTCGATTATGTTTCTTTTTATTCAGACCGAGAATTCCCAGATCACGTGGTGCGGTACCCAAAACATCATGTAGTACAGCTAGAGGCAAGCATGAGGAGGCACAGAAAAGAGCTCCGAACACCTTACATTTCTCTCATTCGTTACTGGGGACTTCTGTGTCACACAGCGGAGGCAGATTGAGTTTCTGCAGGAGCTTCACAACTTCTGGAAGCAGGACTGAAGCCATTGGACAGCTGCAGTTAACACACTATCACCTGGTTTACACCTGCAAAGTAAGATTATACTTCTCCTTCTGTCTGTGTTTGACTTCTTATTTAGGGGAACTTTTGACTGCTTAGGTAATGTTCAGTCATTTAATTGTATATTTTGTCTCTAGGTGTGCTCCACCCGCTCTATGAAGAAAATATCAAAGATAGCCTATCACAAGGGTGTTGTCATTGTAACTTGTCCTGGATGTAAAAACCACCACGTGATCGCTGATAATCTGAAGTGGTTCTCTGACCTGGAGGGGAAAAGGTGTGTATGTTTTTAGCCCTAAACACACTGCATGATTTTCGGCTGTCCCAGACGAAAGATTGACATCGGGGAAACAATCGTGGCTCCTAATCGGTGCTCTTATGTCATACAGTAGGGTGACCATACGTGCCATTTTCCCAGGACGCGTCCTGGCCAGGATTTCTATATTGCCTAAAATATCTAGGTTTTGGCTTTGTTTGCGTGTGTGGACCGATCGGTGTATGACATCAAAATACCTCGAGAGCATTTTGAAAGCATAAGGAACCGTCTGTATGGTACTTTGATGTCATACACCGATCTGTCTGCACACGCAAACAAAGCCAAAACCTAGATATTTTAGGCAATATAGAAATCCTGGCCAGGACGCCCTGGGAAAATGGCACGTATGGTCACCCTATCATACAGTGAGTGAGGTTCAAAGACGACTGTTGTTGTCACGAAGGTCAACGGTCAAAGACAGCCTACGATTCAGCATGATCATCGCACAGTGTGTTTGCTGCTACGATCCACGTTTACTGACCAACCAATAAAAATACGACATGGCGCTAAAACATAAAACTGCTTACCTCAAGCTCTTATCCCTTCCTCTTTCGCCGCTTCCACTTTTTTTCAGAGAAAATATCAAAGATAGCCTATCACAAGGGTGTTGTCATTGTAACTTGTCCTGGATGTAAAAACCACCACGTGATCGCTGATAATCTGAAGTGGTTCTCTGACCTGGAGGGGAAAAGGTGTGTATGTTTTTAGCCCTAAACACACTGCATGATTTTCGGCTGTCCCAGACGAAAGATTGACATCGGGGAAACAATCGTGGCTCCTAATCGGTGCTCTTATGTCATACAGTAGGGTGACCATACGTGCCATTTTCCCAGGACGCGTCCTGGCCAGGATTTCTATATTGCCTAAAATATCTAGGTTTTGGCTTTGTTTGCGTGTGTGGACCGATCGGTGTATGACATCAAAATACCTCGAGAGCATTTTGAAAGCATAAGG